ACTTTAAAACGGCTCGACCAAGAGCTGCTGAAACCCTAAACCCTAAACCCTAAACCCTAAACCCTAAAACCCTAAACCCTAAACCCCAACCGAACTAGGTGTTGATGGGGCTCTTGGGGACTTCGCTAGAGGGCGGAGGCCTCGAGGTGTGTTGGCTTTGAGGCCCGAGATGTGGCTTGTTTTAGGGTTCCGGGTGCATATTGTGTAGATGAAGGGTTTTAGGGCCGTTAAGGGTTTAGGCTTTAGGGTTTAGGGAGGAAGGGTTTTGGGGCCGTTAAGGGTTTAGGGATTAGGGTTTAGAGGAAGGGTTTTAGGGCCGTTAAGGGTTTAGGGATTAGGGTTTAGGGAGGAAGGGTTTTAGGGCCGTTAAGGGTTTAGGGATTAGAGTAGATGTAGAGTTTAGGTTTAGCGTAGATGCAGCTCGTAGAGTTTGAGGTTCACCTGCCTGGGGCTCACCGATGCACCCTTCCGACTGCACCCGGGTTGGGAGTCCGGCCTTGTCTTTAAGCCCGGTCTGAGACATCGCTGGCACCCTGGCTGTAGAAGCTGAACCGTAAGCCTTCAAAACCTGAAAACTTGAAACCACATAGAAAGAAAGTCCATGTTTCGAACCATGTACTTGGACCTGCCCACACTCTTATCTCACAATGTAGGAACCCGATTAAGAAACCTTGACCCTATGACCCCAGCCAGGATATGAGGATCCCTATAAAGCGCCCTCATAAAGAACCTGGGTTTCTTCATCAGCTTCCGCTGAAGCCTCTTTAGGCCTGCCCCGGCAATGTCTGAATAAGCCGATGGACCCGGCAGAACCCTCAAATTTCCCTGCCCTGAACCCTAAACCCTAAAAGGTTTACACGAAAACCCTAAACCCTAAATTGTTTACACCGAAACCGTAAGCCTTAAAGGGTTTACTCCAAAACCCTAAACCTTACAAAGGGTTTACACCAAAAACCCTAAGCCTTAAAGGGTTTACACCAAAAGCCCTAAACCTTAAAGGGTTTACACCAAAACCCCAAACCTCAAAGGCTTAACCTCAAAACCCTCAACTCCAAAGGCCCCCAAACCCGACGATGCTCTGCAAGACCTGACAAGCTTGAACTGGAGAGCCCCGGCCCGACCCACCAAATCGGCCAAAAAAATTCTCTGGGCCCTTTTAAAGGGTTTAGGGTTCAGGGTTTAGGGTTTAGCGTTTAGGGTTTTGGGTTTGGGGTTTGGGGTTTAGGATTTAGTGTTTAGGGTTTAGCCTTGAGCCGTAAGCCACCCTAAATCCTGAACTCTGGGCCCAAAGCCTTAAGACAATCGCTGGAGCAGGAGTACATGAAATGGCTTTTCCAGCAGCTGGAAGGCTTCGAGAACTGCAGAGCAAGTACGTAGGTCTGGGGTTTAGGGTCGAAGTAATGTAGAGGCCGAAGTAATTACCGATACCATTTTGTGGGTTCCTGATGATATTTATAGTATTATGGGCCCTAAAACCCTATTCTAATCATTAAGGCCCCTATATCACCTACGAGGGAGTACAAAGGCTGTGTCAAAGTGTCTCTAGGGGTCGGGTTTAGGATGCTGATCGGGTTTGGGGCGCGGGGGTTCTGAGGTCTAGGTTTTTTCCATGGATTCTTATTGGGGTTAGGGTGTGTGAAAGGGCTCTTAGGTTACATGGACCAAGGCGTCGTTGTGTAATCAAGGATGTTTTGTGCGAGGCCTTCGGGTTTAGGGACGGTTTAGGGTTCAGGGTTTTAGGGTTCAGGGTTTAGGGTTCAGGGTTTAGGGCTTAATGCCTACGCCCGAAACCATAGACCCTAAACCCTAAGCCCTCAAACAGATCCCACACCTGAATCCTAAGTCCGCAGAGTCATCCTCACCAAAACCCGAGACCCGAAACCCTGAGCAGAAATCCACAAACCCGAAACCCAGAAAGTGTTGCAACCTGCACAAACACCCTCATAATTTCCCCTGAACCCTACACCCCAAACATGTACTGTGGTTTAGGGTTTAGGGTTTAGGGTACCCCCAGATTCCTACTGTGATATGGCTTGGATGCTCTCCTGGCTGCGATACGAAGAAGCCTGGCGCGATCGCGAAGATCTTCCATGCTGTCTGCCATCCGGGAGTTTCCGAAAACAAGGGGTACCTTATTTGGGAATCCTTATAATAAGGATCCTACTATCTAGGGAACTATAGTAGGGTCCCCTATTTTCGGAAACCCCCATCTATGTCCCTCGCGCGTCTGCCGAGGGCCAGCAGATGAGCTTCCGATGTCCGGGATGAGCTCGTTGTGGGGTTGTTGCGGTCTGCAGCCCTTAGGGTTTAGGGTTTAGGGGTTTAGGGGTTTAGGGGTTTAGGGTTTAGGGTTTAGGGTTTAGGGTTTAGGGTTCCTCATCCTGGCTTAACCTTGGACCGCGTCATCACGTCGGCGATCGGCGGGGTGCGGAAGGCGAGGGCGGGCGCCCGAGCGCCCGCGCCTTCGATGTGCTGCGGCCTTTGGCTACAAGGGTTTAGGGTTTAGGGTTTAGCACAAGGCTGCTCGTGTCAGGGCCAGGGTCGCTATATGGGACGTCCAAGCACTGGAACCAGCTTGTAACAAGCTGACAGGAGAAGCCCCATCAGATGATGGTTCCCAGTTCTCTCCAGCAGAGATCGCTTTTTGGCGAAGTTGTCCATCTCCAGTCTGCATTCCTCAACGAGTGCTAAACCCACCGTGCAGGGTGCAGAGCTTAGGATGTCGGAATAGGATAAGTTACCATCCCCTTGTGTATGGTTTCTCAGACACAGGTCTTCTGATTTCGTGTGAGGGTCCGGAGCACGATCGGTTCAATTCTTGGTAGGAGACTCCTTGGCGCATGGCACTGTTGTTAACAGTTTTGGGACTCGGTTTGCAGAATTTTCAGTTTAGGCTTACTTCTTCCACAGCCTGTCGTTGTCGGTGTCGCTGTCGCTGTTGCTGTCGGTGTCGCTGTCGTTGCTGTTGTTGCTGCTCTTGCTATCTTGAGTGCTCGTTATGGCTTTTAAGGGGTTCCTCAGCCCCCCCCCCTTTATTGCAGAGAGGCGGTTCAGTCAGCTGGCCTGATTCTACGCTTTGGAGAGTTCAGAGTTTTGGGCTTATGCTTTGAGTGACTTCATCCTTCTGGCAAGATGGCTGAATTTCATACAAACGCATGCTGTATTAAGCCATGTGTTTATGTCGAGGTACACATGCACGAGGTGTGCAGGTATGTGAGTATGTATTTGTCTAGCCAGTAAACTTAAGTACCTAACTGTCTAACTATCTATTTATAAATACTCGAGATATCGGTCTATCGAATGATCTATCTATAGATGCAGGGCCTTTCGTCCGAAAAAAGTCTCCATGCCCTGAACCGTAGACTCAGGTCCTGTTTGGGTCGAGGGCTGGGAAGAGCGAGATGACATCACAGCCGCTTGCCTTGACTGCATACAGACTTAAGGGTGAGAGTATGCGATGTGTCATCAACCCACTCGACGATGTGCAGAGATCCAATCACGTATTAAGCCCTTTGCCGGGTTTGAAGCCGTCACGGATTTAGGGTTTAGGTTTATGTAGGGTTCGGAGGAGGTTCTGTTCGGGGCTTCGGATTTGTGGGAATTGTGTTTCTCGATCCGCGGCTTCGGCTTGAGGCTTCGTGAACCACAGGTCCATCACTCACGGTTCCTCATGCTCCGATGGTTTCTGAGACACCTCAGCCTCGGGATGCTTATCGGGCTTGAAGAAGCAATACTGGTATTCCCTAGCACGTCTCGTTGTATTTATACGACACAGACCCGAACCCCCCAGGTACCTACTATATAGGGTACTAGAGCCTGTAAGGCCCTATATAGTAGGTACCTGGAGGGTTAGGGAGCCTTACAGATTTGTGTTCTTCCGGTGTTCGGATTCTGTGTCAGATGTTGACCTGCGGGAAAGATGGGGCTCTCCAATTCAGTGTTGAAGGCTTTGCGGTTTAGGATTTAGGGTTTAGGATTTAAGGTGAAGGGTTTAGTCTGTTTCGGCAGACGGTAGGATTTGTGTTTGAGTGTTGGTATGGTTTAGTGATTCTTCCTCAGAACTTGTAATTACTCGTATTCAGGCTCCCCGGGAAAAGGTTTTATACATGCCCCAATAGTTAATCCTTGGAATAGGGGCCTTAATAATCACCAATACTATTATTATTATTATTATTATATTTTTTTTTTGGGGGGGGGTCCTTAATATAGCTATACTATAAAGGACCCCCAAAACCTTAGTCTAATTAAGGCCCCTAAACCCTAAACCCTAAACCCTAAACCCTAAACCCTAAACCCTGAACCCTGAACCCTGAACCCTAAACCTTAAACCCTAAACCCTAAACCCTAAGACGATGCTGCAGGTCTTGGATATTCCCAGCGACTGCATTGGCTACGTGACCGGCAGTCGCCGAGCGGCCTTGGGCGGTATGGAGGCCGGGATAGCGTGTGTGTGTGTGTGTGTGTGTCTGTCTGTATCAATCAATCTATCTATCTATCTACCTACCTACCTACCTACCTACCTACCTACCTACCTACCTACCTATTTATCTATCTATCTATATATATATATATACATGTTCTATATAGTATAATGTTTGTTGTAAATGTATATATATATATATGTATGTATATATATATATATATATACAGATAGTTTATTGGATTCGTTCGAGGGTTCCTTCAAGGGCTCAGCAAAGGGTTTGATTCAGGCGCCGGGATGGTGTGAATCTCCCGAAGTACGGGGTCTAGGAGGTCGTCGAATAAGGGTTTTATGGGTTTAGGGTTCAGGGTTTAGGGTTTAGGGTTTAGGGAGGGTCTAGGACATCGTCAAATAAGGGTTTTATGGGTTGAGGGTTCAGGGTTTAGGGTTTAGGGTTTAGGGAGGGTCTAGGACATCGTCGAATAAGGGTTTTATGGGTTTAGGGTTCCGGGTTTAGGGTTTAGGGTTTAGGGAGGGTCTAGGACATCGTCGAATAAGGGCTTTATGGGTTTAGGGTTTAGGGTTTAGGGAGGGTCTAGGACATCGCGTCGTCGAATAAGGGTTTTATGGGGCTGCATGGGTGTTTAGGGACATGTGAAGGATCAGGGACTTGGTATGAAGGGTCATAAGCTAGGCTATAAATACTTCTAGCCTCAACATTCACGTACTTATCTCTACACCCTAACGAAAACCCTAAACCCTAAACCCTAAACCTTATTACCGCCGTCCGCAAAAATCTCTAAGTTGGCCCTTAGTCGTCGTCAGGATTGGGACTGGGCTTAAGGTCTTCAGGATGGTGACAATCCTGGGAGCCTTACATGGGAGTTTCCAAAAACAGGGGATTAAGATAGCGCCCTAAATAGTAGGATCCTGAAAATCAGGACCCCCCAAAGAAGGTACCCCCCCTTATTGTCGGAAACTCCCAAATTTCTAAACCCCCAACACTAAAGCACTACACTCTGAAGCCCGGAACTCGGTGTGAACATCTAACTCGCTGCAGGCTCCTAAACCCTGAGCCCTAAACCATATGCCATAAAGGTTCTGATACCGAAAACTCATGATTGAAGCACTTGGTTCCTAAGGCTATGTCGGAAACCTAAACACATCGACCCTAAACCCCTAAACCCCAGGCCCTGTAAACCCAAAACCGGTTTCCTGGAGCCCTAAGGCGCGCGCCCGAAACCCCTAAACCCCTAAACCCTAACCCCTAAACCCTGAACCCTGAACCCCTAAAGCCTAAGGCCTTTTACCCTCTGCTCCAAAAGCCGAAGCGCTGAGGAGGTCAGGAAACCCAAATTCCCAGCCTCTTCAGGCCCAACACGGTTCAGGGTTTAGGGTTTAGGGGTTTGGGGTTTAGAGGTTTAAGGGTTTAGGGTTGAGGGGTAAAGGGTTTAGGGGCGTAGAGGTTTAGGATTTAGGGGTTTAGGGTTTAGGGATTTAGGGGTTCAGGGGTTTAGGGTTTAGGTTTAGGACCCCAAGTACTCTTTAATAGAACCCTTCTTATGGTCCTTACAACAGGTACTTAGGGCAGGGTATTTAGGGTATAGAGGAGGGTAGTTGGGGGGGTCTAGGTTCGGCCCCAATACCAGGGTTCAGGGTTCCCTTGCAAGAGGTTTTATAGGCGTTTCTATACATCTACGTAAGAGGTCGATAGGTCTTAGATAACTGCAGAAGCTTCCGTGGTGCAGGTTTAGGGTTTAGGGTTTAGGGTTTAGGAGCAGCTGCACGATGGTTTCGGGGTAAAGGTTTAGGGCGCCAGCAACAACTGCTGGCCGACGAAGCTGTTGAAGTCAAGGTTTAGGGCGGTTCCGGTTTAGAGTTTAGGGTTTAGGGTTTAGGGTTTAGGGTTTAGGGTTTAGGGCTGAGCTTGTCAACGAACCCAGAGGCTCCATGTAGGCTACCATTATGGAATTGGGCCCCAAAAGACCATCCTTACTATGGTTTTTGGGGAGCCTAAATCCATAATAGTAGTGTATATGGAGCCTCTAGGGAAGTCTTCCAAACAGAAGCCTTCCCGAAACAGTCCACCCATGATGCAGGAAGAGTGGGGCACTCTGATGTTCTTCATGACAAAGCCCGGCACAGGCAGATTTTGTGGGATATACGGCAAGTTTCTGGTCTTACGTGATTTAGGGTCGAGTGTTGGCATTATGAGTTTTTGAGATGTTGGAGATTTGCTGATTAGGCTCTACCTTAAGAACCCAAAACCTACTTTTTTTGTAGGGTCCCTATAAATCCCATAAGAACCTACAGAAAAAGTGGGTTTTGGGTTGTTACGGTAGGTTTGGGGTTTCTTTTCGTTCGGGGATTTTAGAAGCACCTTCGAGTCCCCTGAAGCCGTAAGACCCGAATCTTCCGATTTGACAGGGCGGTCTGCGTAGCGACTAAGTAAATAAGCATCGTTTAGGGTTTAGGGTTTAGGGTTTAGGGTTTAGGGTTTAGGGTTTAGGCATAAGCATGGTATTCCTGCGGAATGTACTATGGAATGCAGTACATAGCTAGAGAATGATGTAGTAAAGACAAAAGAAACTACAAAAAGCCGAATCAATTAAATCAGGAGGGGCGTTCGAAAGCATATGATGCTGTCATATGCTTTCCGGAACAGTCGGATGCTGATGAGTAGGACCTGCAATGAGACGAGACAGGCGTGACAGAGTTTTCCGGTCAGCATGGGCTCGGGTCCCTTGTGCGCGAGTTGACCAGCGGTGTCAAGCTTCGCTTCTACTGGAAGAAAACGGTAGGTTGCTATGTCGACTTGAACCTTCACTGTTTTTTTTTGGATTTTAGATGCCATACTTGCCATCGAAATGTAACCTTGGTTTCCCACCTTCATAATTACATCTTCAGCTTCATATCGCGATGCAGCTCAAAGGTCCCAGGATCAGTGGGACCACGGTGCCGCTTAATCGAGTGGAGTTCCAACCGCCTTCGCCATGTTAGGATGAAGCTGGTTGTAACATAGGGGGTATAATTAGAATCGGGTTTTGGGGTACGTTATACTATAATGGTAATAATAAGGAACGCCCCAAGATAATATAGGTAAGTATTTGGGCCGCCCCTATATTATGTACAGTTCGTTGAGTTTGAATCTGTGTTCTGTGATCGCACTTCGCCTGTCCGAAACCTTAACCTCATAAGGCTTTAAGCCTTATACCCGGAAATCCGAAAACTCCATTCCTCCATGCTTGTTCAAGGAAGCACACTCGGAGGGCATTTGGGAGCCTAGATTTGAATCTCCCGCCCAAAACAGGGGCCCAGAGAAACATACCCCATGTGTTTCATGCTACAAAGGCGGTGCAATATTAGTTCTGCGTCCAAAAGCCTGTAAGCCCTAAGCCTTTTCCTGAACAGTAGAGCCCAACCCTAAGCCCTAAACCCCTAAACCGCTAAACCCAAACCCTAAACCCCTAATCCCTCGACCCTTAACCGTAACAACCCCAAGTCCTAAACCCTTATCCACAAGACCCAGGCCTGCATTCAAAATGATCCCTGAAGCCTCAGCCGATGCATGGCAGGCGGTGGAAAAGGGGATCGTCGAGGCGGCGGAGGTTTTGGCAACTTGGCTTGGCATGATAATATAGTAATATAGGGGCCTCAACAATTAGAATAGGGCTTTGGGGCCCATTATACTATAATTACAATAAGGAAGCCCACCGAAAATTAGGATTGGTAATTATTTGGCCCCTACATTAGAGCCCACCTGCCTTGAGGGCATGCGGTTTAGATGTCAGAAGAGACACAATAGAGCTTTCATGATTCAAACTTAGGGCTTCGGCTGTAAGTCCAAATCCTAAGACCACGCAGGTCATCACCACCGAAAGCCCCAACAGACAAACCCTCTGAAAAGCCGCCTCCTCCCTTCTTCCCCTTCCAAGCAACATAATCGTAAATGATACGCTGTCCTACACCCACAACCTAAACATGACAAGACTCGCAACAATCATGTGCAAGCCAAGTATGGTGTAGGCACTCGTCATGGCCAAGAAGTCTGCCGAGAAATGTATAAGCACTCAAGCCCTATGAAACTCGTACAAAGTCACGACCATGTTTGACTCCAAAAGCCCTATACAACATTGTTGAACCCTTTAGAACCCACAGCTAACAAACAGCCCAGAAGACAGCATAAAGGACCCATGGTTAGTCACCCTAGACGTCCCAAACCTTGAAATGAACCTAAACCCTAAGCTAAACCTCAATCCTTGACCCTGAAGCGGTACCTGCACCCCCAAAGTATGCAGAATAATAGCCTTTTATGAGTTTTGGGCCATTATTTTACCTACCTTTGGGGGTTTTAGGTAGTGGCTTCTGAGGGGAGCAGTTGGCTATCCTTGGGCCCGAGCGTGGCCGCCGCGGGGCGGCGGGGGGCTCGGAGAGGGCGCTTTGATGATTAGGGTTTAGGGTTTAGGGTTTAGTTTTGGGGCTTACTGGGTTTGCTGTCTTGGTGTTTAGGGTTTAGGGTCCCTTGGGGTCTAGAGTGCACGGTTTAGGGTTAGAGATTTAGGGTTTAGTCTAGTTTTTGGGGGGCTTGCAGAGTTTGCGGTCTTGGGGTGCTCGGAAAAGCGTGCTTTTAAAATGAGGTTTGGGTAAGGGTTCTATGAGGGGTAGGGTTCAAGGAATAATGTAAGAGTATTGAGGATTAGCTTCGGCGGCCTGCTTGCTGTTTGAAGGGCTTTAGCAGGGTTAGAGGGTGTGTTTGAGGCTGATGGCCCTACACCCTGAACAACCCTAAACCCTAAACCCTAAAGCCCTAAATCCCTAAACCCCTAATTAAACCCTAAACCATCCCTAAACCCTACACCATCCCAAGACCCTAAACCAACCCCCCACCCTAAACCCTAAACTCCAAGCCATCCCTAAACCCTAAACCATCCTAAGGCCCCATAGTAGTTCCTTTTTTGGGGTTCATATTCAGAATCCTATAAGGTAATCCCCAAAAAGGAACTACTATGGGGCTTATGGGTAGACCGTATGAGGTTTGCTTGTGCAGGCATTTTCTGGCTTCTTCGGCCTCAGTCCCGAAAGGCCGCCAGAACCCGACAGCTCTTGAAGTCTTGCCTACAAACCCTATAGGGTTTAGGGTTTAAG